TATAATATGGAAAACATTTAAAATATATACATATACCTAAAATAAAATATATGGTAGATATATACAATTATAAATTGAAATCTAATTCTCAGATAAATTATAAATCATTTATTTAAATCAAGTTTGTTATCAATTATATAAGCGTCTCATATTTTACATCTGCACGCGATGGACCGTGGTCGTGTAAAATTCCAATGAGAAGACGAAGATGAAGCGAAATCTAAAGGCCAAACGGGATAAATCTGATCGCACCGAAAGGGTCGGGGTTGTCAGCGTTACGATATAGGGTCTGTCCTTATCTTCAAAATACAGGCAATGCCTCCCCGCTCTCCCACAGTATTCTAGATCCTACGTGTACATTGTCCAAAGTCCAAAAGAGGAAAGTGAACAGGACATGCCGTGATGAATCGGCCATGTTGCCCTGGACCGTTCTAGAGAGAGGGTTAATTTTACTTGCGACCTGTTATTTTCGTACCTAGTCGCACATGTTTTTAAGTCTCTTCGACAAATAAAAAAAATAAGATAAATGTAAATTTGTAAATGCGATAAAATATTAAAAATATAATTTGTTTTTAATTTTATGGTAAAATATCACGTTTGAGATAACGTCAAAGTTCTTCAACTAAACCTCAGGTTTATTCCTTCTGTTTCTTTATAAATTAATTTCTACATGCATAACAAGTATTTTCTTAAAAAAAGATATGAAATTATATAAATTACAAACAATAAACTTGTAAGTAAAACTTAGATTAAAACTGAAAAAACTGATTATAAGTACCTTTCATTTTTAAACTTTAGTCTCGACATTTCTATTAATGTACGATTTACAAAAGTTAAAGGAGAAAAGAGATTTGCAAGGTTTATGTATGCATTTACAGTTATAATTTTATTACCCACGATCCTAGCGTGAGAAGATGACAAATCACCTTATCAGTAGCAACAAACGTGACAACTTCGTATGGAAACCGAATCTGAACATATGTATCTCTTATTTCTCAAGTCATGCTTCAGAGCATCAGTTATGATGGATTCTATATTCATCTGAACTGTACGCCATGTATAGAGTGTTCCAAAAGTAATTTTTATTATTACGGAATTAATCGTATGTTCTTAAAATGATCTCTTACATTCGCAATTCAGAGCATAAGATTCGTATCTTATTGGTAAATACGACTATAACGGTGTACCTTGAAGCAAAACTGACTTTCTCGTCACTTTCCCTCTACGTTAAGCGCGTCGTATTAATATTTAACTTATCACAAACGTAGATAACAGCGTGAAGCCTAAATTTTTATCGTGTTTCTAGATCAAACTCGCATTCTTCTCGGGTAGGTCACCGGGTACAATTAACAAATCCTATCGTCTGGCCGGCTTCTGTTGTCCTTAGTGTGAACTTTACAAGACTTATATAATGCATGCGTAAGAAGAATGGACCACCCATGTAGAGAGGTCTCTCTCGACTCGGCCTCGAGTGCACTTCGGGATTGCGCGCGCGGACGAAGCACTCCATCAGAAGAAGTAGTCGGCTGGACAGCATACCGGGTAGAAAATGACACCAGTCTCGAGACGCACGTCGTTTCGTATCAGTTAAATCGACCTCTCGAACCGTATTTTCTTTTTGTCACGTTTTCGCGAAATTAGAAAACGACCGTGCAATAATATATAAATCTTATTGCGAGGGAAGCTTGTTGATGGATCTCAGCCTGCCTTGGCAAAGATTTATTTATCATATGTGATAAAATAAACATGCGTGACAAAATTATTTGGGAACAAATAAGTCCTTAAAAGAAAATCAATATTTATATATAATTATGAGACAAGATATATTCTATATATTTTATAAATTGTAAATAGTTTGCTTACGTCTAGTAATTAAGCTGCCTTTCTATCTATATACGATTAATATTAGTTTACTGTAATTTTTAGAAAAGTCTGTACACATATCTCGAAAACTTTCGACATTGAAATGTAGTTTCCTCCTTCGTTTGGAATCTAGTTTCTATAATCTCGATATCACCACAGGTAATGATGATAATTATCAAACCTGTCCGTTTGTCCACACGGACGAGCACTTGCCACGACATTCTAGGTAGATGCAAGTCTTTCGATGCTTCTAAAGCGGTATTTTCGCTAAGGAGTAGAAACATTTTCTAGAATCTTACGTTTGCGAATACAGAAAATCTCACCATTCTCTATACACGATTTTAGAAACACGTTGTATAACGCAAACCCATAGAAAGCACACCTGAATAACGAGACGCGTTGCTGTTCCCTCGAGAAGAGCGGCAGAGGTCGAAGATTTCAGGTCACTACGTCTCGAGAGCATAATGCATCGCAGCGAGGGAAAGAGTTGTGTAAACGAACTTTCATGAACTTCCGAAAGTCGTCGCTTTTTCACATCTTCCCTGTCGTTGCCATCCACGATCCTTTTGCGCGCTCGCGAGGTGTGTACAGTTTGTACAAATAACAATACTAAAACCGTAGTTTATAAGTTTGCGCGGGCAATAAACGAGAGAACTTATCAGCTCACTTTAATAAAACCCAAGAAATTTTCGGACGGAATATTCTTTTCACAATTTCTGATAAAATCGCACGTCTACGATCTGCGGCCTGAGAAAATAAAGCTTTAAATATGTTACTTTGCATGCAATCGTTATATAATTCGTATCGCCATCTCCACGCACGTGATCTCGTTAATAAACGATAATCTGATAATGACCTATCGTGCTTCATTCATTTCGTACACTCGAATCCAACTCTCTCTCTCTCTCTTTTTCTGAAACAAAAACGGCTCTCTAATACGTAGAACCCGAAATGCGTGTGGTCTTCGGGAAGTGTTAATCGCCTGGCTCGCTACCGTGTTGCTTCTGACCGGCCCTTCAATTAGTATGTGCCACACATGTTTCGAGCCACGTGATGCAGCGTTTCGGGCCTCATCAGGCATATCCACGGTGAATTTCGAGGAAGCAAGAAATCTGTCCGTTTGAAAAATATACAATATTTCTGTAGAACCCGAAATTTTTCAATTTTTATTAAGTGTCGTTAAATCTCATCGACTATTTTACTGCTCATCATTTTACAATTAATCATAAAATAGCTATGTAATTTATAATATTCTTAGTATTATTATTTTACGTACAGTAACAGTATTACTGCAATTACTGCAATTTTTGGCACGCGAAGATCGATTACGCTATTTGTAGTCCGATATCTTTTTACCCACAATTCAATCCTTTATAAACATTCGTAAATTAATAGTCAGCACTGTGTACATTAGAAGAATTTTATTAGCCGCTTCGCACGCGAGAACAGCTCGAACGAGAGCGAACACCGAGGCGGCGAAATCGTGGATTCCGATGCCGGATAAACTCCTTAATCAAACAGCGAAGCCAATCGTGCGCAAATCGTCTGAATGAGCTTGCTTTTTTGTTATAGTTTACCAGTCGGGCACCTGTCGCATGTGTGCGCAAAGGGGTGTGGATTCAGAGATGGAGGATGAGAGGGAAGAAGAGAGAGAGAAGGAAAGAGAGAAAGGGGGAAGAGGGACACAGAGAACGAAGCGAAGAGGGGTAGAAGTGCACGGAGAGCAGGGAGGGATAGAGGGTGAACGGAGGAACACGTGGTTCTATTTGCAAAAACAAAGTTTGCGCGGGACAAACACGGGCAGACACTAGCCAGTCTAGTCGACTTCGGGGTCAAAAGCGCAACAAAGACTCAATTGCATTTCGTTCCCACCCGTAGAATTCTCTTTTTTCTACCCCAGTTTCCGTCACACAGTCGCTAATCGAATGATAAAGCGCCGTCGAACATCCCCAACCGATCAAACTGATCCAGTTTCCGAATCTCGGAGATCTGTGCGAGACGACCGTGAAAAATTAGATTAGATTCTCCGAATTGTTGGCTTGATTGCGATGCTCGATGCTATATAAATCTGTTTATGTAACAAACAAAGGAAACTTCGCTAATTTAGTATGTCAACGTCTACTTGAGCAACAATTCTAATGAGGATTTTGTTCAAACAACATTTTACGTGCCTTGTAAAATAAAATCATTGAATTATATTTTACTCGTTCACGCTGTTAGCTGAAATTGAGATTTGCTCGTTTCTGCTGAATATTAATTATTTCTGTACAATTATAGAGAAAGAAAGAGAGAAAGAGGGAGGAGAAAGAGAGTTTCAATAGGCGATCATCGGAAAGTCATTCTGTTGGTTCTTAATTCGAATGCTTACCCTTCCGTCAAACATACTTCACGTTGTCACAATATTGTTATCGGCTGCGCGGGAGTATCATAATGGATCTCAAACACTCGATTTCTCATCTCGATTAACGTTGTACATGTTGTCCCAAAATGTCTCGTAAATCGTACATTCTGCGAGAAGATTAGATACGAGGGCCATTTGAAAAGTTTCCGGCCTTTTTAAGAAAAACACATATTTCAAAGCAAAACAAAATTTATTTCTCGACGTAGTCTGCCTGCAACTCGATACATTTAGTTCAACGTTTCTCCCATCCTTTTAAACCGTCAGAAAAAAAATTGATTGTCTTAACCTGAAAAATACTGGTTTACAGCGTTTTCCACCTCAGCATTTGACTTATATTTTTTTCCCCCGAGAAATTTTGTCAAATTAGGAAAGAGGAAAAAGTCGCTGGGTGCTAGATCTGGCGAATAGGGTGGGTGCGGAAGCAATTCAAACTTCAATTCGTTCAATTTTGACATTGCGACCATGCACGTGTGAACCCGAGCGTTATCCTGGTGAAACAGGATTTTTTTCTTGACCAAATGCGGACGTTTTTTCTTAATTGTGGCCTTCAATTTACCCAGCAATGCAGCGTAGTACTGTCCGTTGATCGTTTCACCCTTTGCAAGGTAATCGATAAGAATTATTCCACAGCTATCCCAAAAAAACTGTCGCCATCACTTTTCCTGCAGAGAGAACGACCTTTGCCTTCTTCGGAGTTGGTTCCCCCACCACAATCCACTGCATTGACTGTTGTTTGGTCTCAGGCGTATGGTGGTGTACCCAGGTTTCATCGACGGTTATCATTCGCCGCGAAAATTCCGCTGGATTTTTTTTATACAGGCTAAGACACTCGCGCGACATGTCCATCCGTATGCGCTTTTGGTCGATCGTCAACAAGCGCGGCACCCAGCGCGCGGATAATTTTCTCATATCCAAATCTTGATGTAAAATCTTGTGCACCCGTTCATATGATATCCCACAAGCCTCAGCAACATTCTTAACAGTCAATCGACGATCTTCCATCACAGTTTGATGCACTAAATCGACCATTTCGTCAGTTGTAGCGGTTTTCGGGCGCCCGGAACGTTCCTCGTCTAAAATGCTCGTACGACTACGTTTGTATTCGGCCACTCAATGTTTGATCGTTGTAAATGAAGGGGAGGCTTCACCGTATACAGAGTCTAACTCATCTTTTATTTCCTGAGTCTTTTTCCCTTTTAAATAAAGGAATTTTATCACTGCGCGATACTCGATTTTTTCCATTGCTGACAGACAATGTCAGCTGACAACTTTGGAAGAGTGCCATAGACAAAGTAATGATCGGAATGACTTGAAATTTTTACGGTTTACATATGTCAAATTCATCTATCAGACGGCGAAAGAAATTTTTTCTACAGTTACTTTATGTCGATGAGGCCGGAAACTTTTCGAATGACCCTCGTGAAATAGGCAGAACGGCAGAAAAAATTTTGTCGTTTTCTCTTTTAGAAAACCTCTTATCTAATCACACAACTTTTTATAACTAAGTTATAAGATATAGCTTCCTGTACAATATTCTCTAGAAAATTCTATTTTGAAAAGGTTTCCGTCAAAAATGTAATAATATCTTTAAAACATTATTAAATAAATGCAGAAATTGGATCTCTTTGCCTCCCTATCGTCTCTCTTTTCACGTCCTCTGAATTTTTGTTGTAAGATTTTTTGCCAAAGTAAAAATACACAAAGTAATTTTACACATTTTAAAGTTTTTTTTTACATGGAGAAAATTCGAACCGTTATTACCTCTATATGAATTACATAAAAATATCATTACTATTTATATATATTAATTAACGTATAATGCGACGGAATGAAAATTTGAATCATTATTACCTTTATATGAATTACATAAAAATATTAGTACTGTTTATATATGTTAATTAACTTTGCGTATAATGCAACGGAATTTACATGTGGCGCCAGTCTTTCTTGGCTCAAGTACAGGTAGATATAAGCACACGAGCGTACCTGGAAACTTAAAACGATGCTTAACCTTCCGCTTAAAGTGGTTACGCCTGGTCTCAGGCTGACCTTATTCATTGTATTTCATTGTGAGGAAGGTTCCGTACACTCAATATCCATTGTGCTGCACACCATACAACTTTTAAGTCACTTAGACGTATTCCATCACTTTTCAGTCACTTAGACATATTCCAGACTTGCAAATTCGTATGAAAATAGATTAGAATGCACATTTATGAGGATTCTCTCTCGACTCTGTGAATGACATAAATGCCCGAGTTTCCATTTGATATCCAAATTAAATAACAAAAAGTTAAAGGGAAAAATAGCATAAAAATGTAGCGCTTTATTATCATCAATGTTTTCAGAAGAGAACTCATTTTAGCTCTTCTTTTTCAGCTCTCAAAGTACGTAGGTCCCGAGATATGCAAGTCTTGAAATACGTGCGAGCTGACTGTATGAAGGCTGAGGACGCAAGGTTCTCGAAGCGGAACGTCATCATTGCATTACCGGGGAATTTTCAGCGCGTCTTTCAAAGCGTAACGTCCTCAGGTTCGTCGCGCGAAAACGCGACTCGGAGCGAGAGAAGCGGGAAAGGGTTGGCGAACGCGATGGACGCGTTGACGAGACGAAGACGGAGGCAACGACGGCGGCTGCGGCGGCGGAGGTGGTTGACGGTGGTGGTGTATGCCGTGACAAATATTTGCCTGTCAACACAGAGAGGCTCGCGCTACCATCCCGCTCTATCCCTATGCGCGCCGCAAACGACATGCATAGCCGAGGGAGGAACGTTTGACAGGAGGTGCAGGAGGACGGAGCAACCAAACGAATCATAAAAGGGCCCGATTGAGAGACAAAGTGGAATGAGGAGGGTAACGACGCGCGATAAGAACACGGAGAACTCGATTCCTGGCGTTCTCCGACCCGATCACGACAGTTTGTCAGCATACTAACGCGCCGCGATGAGCGGGATAATGATCGAAGGTGTTTGCACGCGCGGTTGCTGAGTAGCAAGAACCGAACCGTTGCACAGATAAGAGAACCCGAAAATTAGATTGCACTGTCACGAATGCAATCGTGATGCACCGTGGAATAATACAATAGCGTAGAACATAAATAGGGGAGGAAATGACTAATTGTGAAAGACGGGTATTTCAAACGATGGTAAAATATGTGTAGGCTAAAGCGGAGCCATTTCGCTCAGTTAAAGAAACATTCGGGTGAAAGATTTTCAAGGCAGAAAGCCGAAAAGCACACGCTCAAAAAGCCTCTTCTTACTTTGAAAATTGAAGAGCCCTGTCTTGAAAAATTTTACCTACGGTATTGGCAAAAATATTATCGCATTTCCTACACTTGCGTGCCCTTCAATTAATTAGCACTCACTGACCCCCTATTTTCGACTTGTTCAGCAATATCTGTAATTTATAAAATATCATGCAAAGCTACTTTGCGGTATTCCTTATCAACGGTATCACGTTTAATGTAAAAATTATGACAACAGGGAGATTCCTCATGGGAAGGTGCAAACTCAGTTTCGAAAAGCAACCGCGCGCTCGCGCTTCGACCTGGAGAGAAAGAAAAGTATCCGCGTAGGAAGCGGGTCTCTTCATTCACGTGGACCTTTTTGGGCAAGGAGAAGAGCGAGTGACACGGATGGAGGGGAAGGAAGCAGGGTGTGGGATGGAACAGGGGGACAGAGAAAACGATGGCCACCTACGATCCGTTCCTCGC